TGGGAAAGATGTGTTAACTGCAATGAGCTCTCCTGAGTGCCTAGAGAAAACTGTAGAAAGTTTTTTCCTAAAATCTGTATTTGGGGACACTATAGTCTAACTGACTGGGTTTCTTTGGTCTGGGTGCCATATGTCTTGATGTTTGGAAAGTCCCCAGCCTGCCCTTGCAATTGTGAGTTTTCTGGATAGTTGTGCCACATTTCAAAATCATCACCTAAGAGCAGCTGGCTTTACTGTCCCTGTCTACCGCCCACATCATTCTCATCCACACTTACCACTATTACATGCCTCTCATGTATTGGTTAGCAGGTTAAATGCTTTATGAATGCTATCTTATTTAATCCTTAAACATTAATGCTTTTGGTAAGCTTCCAATTCCACAGAACTAGTTCTTATTTGGAGAACCACAGCTAAAATTGGTGGCAGAGCCAGCATTTGAATCTAGGTTTGCTGACCCTATAACCATGATAATGGCTTTCTATGTTCAGGGAAGAGAGACAACTCAAAGTATTCCTGCACAGAACCTGCAGCATGTTCCTACAGTGGGAATATTATCTTCATATAAGGAGAGGATAATGATAAAAAAAAAAGGAAGGAGGCACATAAAAGTTTCCCTAAAATATTAAGGCATATTTGGCTGTCAAAAAAAAAAAAAAATCAATACAGCCGGGCTGTTGTGGCTTGGTGGTTGAGTATAGACTTATGAATCAGAAGATCATGGTTCGATACCTGGTCAGGGTACATGTCCAGGTTGCCAGCTTGATCCCCAGTAGGGGGTGTGCAGAAGGCAGCCAATCAAAGATGATTCTCTCAATGATGTTTCTACCTCTATCTCCCTCTTCCTTCTTCTCTGAAATAAATTAAAAATATATTAAAAAACAAAGAAAAACCAAATCAACACACACAGTACTCATTTTGTGAGAATGAAAGAGAGTTCAGCTGAATCCGGTTTGGCTCAGTGGTAGAGTGTCGGTCTGCGGACTGAAAGGTATTGAGTTCGATTCCGGTCAAGGGCATGTACCTGGTTGCGGGCACATCCCTGGTAGAGGGTGTGCAAGAGGCAGCTGGTTGATGTTTCTCTCTCATTGACGTTTCTAGTTCTCTATCTCTTTCCCTTCCTCTCTGTAAAAAAAATCAATAAAATATATTAAAAAAAGGGAAAAAAAAGAGAGTTCAATGAGATTCTTCCAATAGTCACATACATGATTTTAGGCTATATGACATGAATTAAATGATCAAAGCTGAAATGTGTTGAGATCCTGATATATTTCTAGAGTTCTTGGTCAGTTCAAATTAATGTTGACTTGATAAATGAACCAATGGAACAAATAATGAGTCTTGGATTTAAATTCTATCAAGAAGTATCTATTGCCGAGACCGGTTTGGCTCAATGGATAGAGCGTTGGCTTGGGGACTGAAGGGTCCCGGGTTCGATTCCGGTCAAGGGCATGTACCTTGGTTGTGGGCATATCCCCAGTAGGGGGTGTGCAAGAGGCAGCTGATCGATGACTCTCTCTCATCGATGTTTCTAACTCTCCATCTCTCTCCCTTCCTCTCTGTACAAAATCAATAAAATATATTTTTCAAAAAGGTATCTATTATCTTCTCACACAGCAGAATACAGTGCAAAGGTACGGGAATAAATGACAAATAAGCAATTATCTACCTGCCAGTACCTTATGTTAGTGAAAGAGGCATATTTAAAAAAAACTAAGATCATAGAATGGAACAACTACTGTTCCAGATGTATACCTAAAAAAGAATGTAGCTCCAGTGGAAGGAGTATTTTCTTCTGACTTGACATAGAGAAAGTGATGCTACAAAAAGCTTCCAGAAGTAAAAAAAATTAATGTTGAATTGACAAATGGATGAAAGGAGAAAATAATGAGTCTTTAGAATTTAGGCTCATTCAAAGAAGAGTGGGAATACGTGAATAAAGCAAATGACAGCATTGTGAAAGAACTTGCTACATTTGGTAGTTTGCTGATGTAGGAAAATCCCAGGTTGACTATATGGGTTTGGGAAGAGGTTAGGTAGCAGTAATAGTTTTGGGTGAGATTGGAAAGATCTTTGGCTGCTATAGTAAAGAGATAAAGAATTTTAACCTTTTGCTGAAGGCAGTGAAGAACTCTGTATAAGGAGTGATGTGAAGATGTGCTTTTGAGATTATGCTCATGTCCATATGGAAAATTTGGAAACACTTGCAACTCAGGACAGGGAAAGTACTTATGAGAATATTGTGGTAGTTCCTGCAAAAACCAATGAGAGTTTTATGTAAAATGGAGATGATGGAACTGGAGGATAAGGATGGTCAATCAAAAGCTATGTAATATCTGAATCTGTAGTAGTTTGGAGATTGAATGACCTGTCCTAGACAGTTGTGTAGGCAGAATTCTAAAAGGGCCTCAAGGTTCCTGCCCCTATGTCCTTGTCCAGTATAAAACCCACACCTTGAGTGTGAGTGAACCTATGAATGTGATGAGGTATCACGTCTGTGATTGTGATATATTGTATAGCAAAAGGAGTTTACACTTATAAATAAGGTCCCTGATTATTTGACTGAGTTAGTAAAAAAGGAGATTATGCTGGATTAGACTGACAATTATTGGAGCCTTTAAAAGAGGTAAGAAACAGCAGAGAGATTCCTCTACTGGATTAGAAGATGCAAATATCATGTGACAGATCTACTTGGCTGGGAGCTAAGAACTACCCCTTGCCCACAGCAGCAAGAAAACGGAGACCTCAGTCCTACACCACAAGGAGCTCAATGTGAGATTCTGAGCAGAGATCCTATTTATGTTGTGCTCAAATGTCTGATTTACTGAAATGTGAGATAATGGATGTATCTTATTTTAAGTCATGCATTTGTGCTAGTTTTTATGCAGCAACAGAACTAATGTGACGGAGTATTTTTCAGTTTAAAAAGAAGCCAGATTTCAGCTATAGGTGTGAACCATTAAAGAGGGAAATGAGGATGAACAAATTTTCAATAAATTGTTGGTTCAAAGAAGGAAATTCATGCTATAGAGAATCAGGGTTAATAAGAAAGAATTGTTAGTTTTTTTCTTGTGTGTTTGTGTTTATTTTTTGTTTCACATTGTGTTTAAGGTGAAAATAAAGTTGGCATATTTACAAACTATGCTAATATGAGATTGGAAAGGGAATATATATCAAAGAAAAAATAAACAAAGAAAATGTTGGAGTTACTTCCCGGAGTAGAAAGAGATCCTATATTCATTCTTTTTTTCAGTGTTTAAATAATTTCCACATTCCTTACTATCTTAAAGATAATTCCATATTGGATCCCTGTTACCTTCAAACACGACCTTTTAACACGTTGTATCTCACACTATAGTGGCATTCTAGAATACCAAAATCCACATACCTTGGATATGCTTAGAATATCTTCATGGCGGTTTTTACCTATCATCTCCTGCACAAGTTATCTTCATGTCCTCAAGAAAGCCTTTCTTGACTTTTCTCTATACAACTTTTTCATGTATACAAACCGCAGAATCTTAATCTGAGTATTCTGTATTTTAAACACAAGCTCTTTAGTGTGTATACCATACTGCATTTTACTTATTTGTTTACACATTTGTTTCCTTGATTATCTTACCCTTTGACTAATATCCTTGAGGATAGGTGCCATGTCTAATTTGCTTCTATATCCCTATTGTATGGATTATAACATGTACTCAATAATTTAATGTTAAACTAAACATATTCCAAAAGTCTTTGAGAAGGAGCATAGAGTTCTTCTCATTAAGGAAGGGATTAAGAAAGGCTGAGAAAATCATAGATGTGGGGAAATAAGGGAACACACAAAGAAAATATTAATCAGGTACACTAAGACAGACAGAAAATATATATTTTCTCTCTACTATCAGATGATAAGGCATGTGGATAAATATAAGGGGCATGCAAAAAAAAGTGGAAAATGAAGTGAAAGAAATTATTGTATAGTGTTAACTTTAATTTTTAAAAGTGACAATACCTAATATTTGGTGATTTTTTTTTTTACATTATAGTGAGATAGCCAAGTTTTTCACATATATTAACTAATTTAATCATCACAATAATTCTATGCAATATATATATTATCATTACTTTAGAGATACAGAATTCCAAACACACACTGTTTAGTAACACATTCTGTAGATTGTTCAGTTGATATATATATATATATATATATATATATCAGTACATGCTTGAACCCATCAGTTTAGAATATGTAATCCTAAAAAATTAATTTGGGATGCCAGTTAAAAGTTTATAACATCAAAATATCCGTAATATTGACCTTTGAGATTCTATACTCGAATAGTCCTGATTGTCATTGTCTTGATTGTTTATACTTGTTATGTGGTATGAAAGTTAATTAGGTACAGTTCAAAGTTATGGGATTGTAAATAGGATGTATGTTCACACAGGATATTATCACAACTACTAACAGATAGTAGGGGCTCAACAAATGTTAGCTCTTCATTATGATTAGGTACAATCAACCTCATTGACAGAAAGTACTCAGGTGATAAAGATAAGATTACTTTTTGGGTCACTGGAAGTTAACTTACTTTATTGACTAACTTGAATCAATGCACATATTGTTTGCTGTTCATCTAAAATTTTGTACAACTCTATTGACATATTTCTACAAATATGTTGCCGACTAAGTGAAATCAGGAAGTGAATGGGTAAACCTCCCTGAATAGACATGTGAATCTAAATAAAGTAGGCCACGGTATAATTTGTTTGTTACAAAGTCTGTATCCTCACATAATTGTTCATTTCCTATTTTATGCTCCTTGATTAGATGTAGTTTTAGTTTTCTTTTTTTTTTTAACCAATCTTCATGAGCTTTTTATATAATAGAGAGATTGTCTTTTATAAATGTTTATCTGGTGAAATAATTTCAAGTTGACTGCATTTCAGAGAAATATGATATATCATTGCAGGATAACCAGATTAAGATTCTGCAGTTTGAGTTCAACATGTCAATGTTCCAGAATACCACATCACCTTCCATCATTTTCCTACTATCTGGTGTTCCTGGGCTGGAAGCCTTCCACATCTGGATCTCCATCCCCTTCTGTTTTCTCTATACAACAGCCCTCTCGGGAAACAGCCTGATTCTCTTTGCCATTGTCACTCAGCCCAGCCTCCACGAACCCATGTATTATTTCCTCTCCATGCTGTCCACCACTGACCTCGGCTTGTCCATATCCACCCTAGTCACCATGTTGGGTATATTCTGGTTCAATGCCCGGAAGATCAGCTTTAATGCCTGCTTGTCACAGATGTTTTTCATTCAACTTTTCACTGTCATGGAATCTTCAGTGCTGTTGGCCATGGCTTTTGATCGTTTTATGGCCATTTCTAAACCTCTTAGGTATGCCTCTATCTTAACTGATCTTAAAATAGCACAGATTGGAGTAGCAATCATCATTAGAGGGACCCTAATACTGACTCCTATGGTGTTGCTTCTGAAAAGACTTTCCTACTGTCGCAACTACGTGCTCCACCACTCCTATTGTTTCCACCCAGATGTGATGAAGCTCTCATGCACAGACACCAGAATTAATAGTGCGGTTGGATTGACTGCCCTGATCACCACTGCTGGAGTAGACTCAGTCTTGATTATCATTTCTTATGTTTTGATCATTAAGACGGTCCTCAGCATTGCATCCTCAAAAGAAAGGAAGAAAGCCTTCAACACATGTATCTCCCATATTGGGGCTGTTGCTGCATTCTATATCCCATTGATCAGTTTGTCCTTTGTTCACAGATTTGGGAAACAGGCTCCACCTTATGTACATACTATGATTGCCAATGCCTATCTGCTGATCCCCCCTGTAATGAATCCCATTATCTACAGTGTGAAGACCAAACAGATACGCAGGGCTGTGCTGAAAATTCTCCATGCAAAGAATTAGATGGATTAGTGCAGCAAAGAATTAGATGGATTTTTTAATTTTCTATTTCTGGTCATTAAGTAGATGAGTAAAATGCCATTTTACAGGAGTTAAAATGTTGAATCTTATGCTTCCCCAAATTTATAGATTGCTGATTATATTTTTATTTATATTCTGGTGTTACTATTAATTTATCTTTTCCCCAAAGATATTTTTCTTCATTGAAGTGTCTTGGCACCGGTGTCAAAACTCAACAAGATCCCAGTTGTGTGACTGAATGGTTGAGCATCAACCAATGAGCCAGGAGGTCACCGTTCAATTCCCATTCAGGGCACATGGCCTGGTTTGGGGGCTCGATCCTCTGTAGGGGGCATGTATGAGACAACCAATAAATGATTCTTTCTCATCATTGATGTTTCTATCTCTCTCTCACTCTCACTTCCTCTCTGAAATTAAAAAAAAAAATTTAAAAACTAAACAAAAAATGTGAAAGTTTAAGTTCGTATTCTCAATTCTATTCCATTGATCTCTATATCTATCTTGTTCAGAACCACATTGTCTGGATGACTATAGCTTTGTAGTAAAATTTGAATTTTCCAAGTTTTTAGATTATTTAAAAATGACTGTCCTTTCAGTGATTTAACAGATATTCTTAAATGAATGGTTTTTCATTTGCTATATGATCTTAGGGCGATTTCCAGAGAATTTAAATGTATATACTTGTATCTATATGATTTTTTGCTATTTATAGTACTTTCCCTGGGGAGCATGTTCACAGGTCTCCTCTTGCTGCCATTTTGAAAATTGATCTCTTCATTTCTTGACTTTATAATTCAAACAACACAATTGTTTCCTGATCATTCCAGGTTGAATTATACATTCTTATTATATATTCTTATTACTCCTGCTTATATTGTATATATTGTAATACATCACAAGAATACTTCAGATTTTGATTGGTTACTTTCTAATCTACATATTTTACTTCACTAATTATGACAATATCTTATTTGTCTTTTCCACATTAACATGTTGTGCAATGTTTGGCAAAACTAGACACTCAGTAAATAAAAGAATGAATCAATGGTAATTAAATTATCTTATATAGTAAGAGTGTAGTATGAAACTTGGGAATTCATCAAAGAGTTTGACCAATGGGGCCAACCAGGGGAAGGGAGGGAGGCCCTGGCTGGTGGAGGTGGTAGGAGACTGGGAAAAGGGAGGGAGTACCTAGCAGGCAGCCAGCAGCTGTTAGGAACCTTACCAGTGCACGAATTTCATGTGCTGGGCCTCTAGTATATAAGAATCCTAGATAACAACATCTAATTTATTCTAAAATTAAAGAAAACTTAATTCTTTATTATGTATACTTTAAGAACACAAATCGGGACAGAGAGATAACAGTTCTTGGAAGTATGTATTTGGAAGCTTGGTCTAATGGGCAAAGTGTTCATTTTAGCCATTGCCATTCATATCTGTCCTAATAATACCTGGCTTATCGTAGATGCTCAATATTTGTTGTGTTGGAAAATGAATAAGAATATGATTTGGGAGTATGTGCTTGGTTTTATTAGTTCTACTTTAATGGCCACAAAATTCTGAGCTGGTGATGTCTTATGTGGTAAGGTGTTACACAGTCTTATCATTCTTTGCAAAGAAGTGAGTGAGTGAACTATGACTACCAAAATCCAGAGCATTTGATGGGCAGTGAGCTAAATTGTGGTAGGGTATTTAGTGACAGTTGTTGTATGTTGAGTTTGGGGAAGTAATTCTTAGAGATAGTATTCTACCATATTTCTATATCTGTATAAAGTAGCAGTTCAGAAGTAGCTTACCAAATAGATACAATAGATGTAAGAAGTGAACTAGCCAATGCAGTTGAGAACTACATGGGTCTAATACTGAGGAAGATATTGACTAGAAAATATGAACTAAGAGTGAGATATGTAGGAATTTTGAGTAATGAGCAAGTTTCTCTTGTTGGTTTTAATGTAGTTCTTGAAATAATATGCAAAGTATGCCTAAGGAATTTTGTTATTGTTTGAAATACAATTGATAAATTTTGCTTTAAATTTTATATTTCTCATACCTATGGATATAAATGCATTAAAAGGTGGAATAAAAATCAAACTTATGAAGTGACTTGCTATGGAAAAGTTAGAAAGATTGGACTTGAGAGAATATATCAAGGAGGACTTTGGTCTTTTCTATAAATTCTCTTATTAATGAGAGTATATTTATTATTTCTAATATAACTAAAATTTAATTTGAAAGCCTTTTTTTCTGATTGTTTTTATGAAAGAATAGAAGGAGGAAAAGGGACAAGATTGGAAAGAAGAAACTGATAAGAAAATTGTTGAAAGATTTTGTGGCCTAGACTAGGTGTAAGAATGGAGAGGAAGATATATTTTGTTGTTATAATAGAAAGAAAATACAAATTTATTGGATGCAGGAGCAAAGAGTGAGTAATCATTAGTTTTTATCTTTGGCATCTGAAAAAAAATTAAAATTACACAATAGCTCTGAAAAACCTTTGAAAAAATGAGTTGAATTATTCTTAGACAAATTGGGCTTTATGCAAACAAGGATAAATAAGTTCCTGAGATTGAGATCTCAGGCCACAAAATTGGCCTTTACCTATATGGTCAGAGCTGTGAACAACTGCTAGATAATATAGACAGAAAAGCTGAAATAGGTTGTAAGAAAAATTTCTTATGTTTCACATGCCAAACATTGAGTTGAATGACTTATCACTAAAATTATTCAGATGGCTGGCTATTTGATAGTCTTTTAGTTCAATTCAATTTAACAACTATCTTTGACTATCTGCTATGTGGAAGATATACTTTTAGGTATTGTAGCAACATCAGAGAAAATACAGACATTTTTTAATTTAGGGAATTGACAGCTTTATGGAAATAATACCATAACTACTACTAGTAGGTATAAACAACATATAGTCAAAAACACAGAAAAGGAAAAAAATAGATACAGAGAAATCACCATAACAGACAAATTATGAGAAGGAAAGATCAGATATAATTGAAGCAGTTATGAAAATTTAATGAAGAAGATATTTAAAGATGAGTCTTGGCACTTTTAGTATTTCAAGATGAAGGAGTGGGTGTCAAGGTTGATGTCAAGAGGAAAGCCCACTATTAGGAAAGCTGCATGACTTAGCAGTTAGCAGACTGGTTTTCTTAGACTGCAGAGTATGTGAAAAAAGAAAGAGGGAAATAAACTTCAAAGGAATGTTGAACCGAAACCAGTTTGGCTCAGTGGATAGAGCATCGGCCTGCAGACTAAAAGATCCTCAGTTCGATTCCAGTCAAAGGAATATACCTTGATTGCGGGCACATCGCCAGTCGGGGATGTGCAAGAGGCAGCTGATCGATGATTCTCTCTCATCGATGTTTCTAACTCTATCCCTCTCTCTTTCTCTCTGTAAAAAAATCAATAAAATATATTTTTTAAAAAAGTGGTTGAAAAATAAAATAAACATTGAACCTAAATTATCGAGGACTTTAACACAGGCAAGAGTTAATGCTTTATTTAATTGTTGGATGAGAAATAAACATGGAAGGGATGCTTACTGGTTTGTTTTTAAATTTTAGTTGAGCTGGATATTTGGAAAGTTAATTCAAAATGAATGACAGGTAGTTTTTGCATAGAAACAGCATGGAGATGGGAGGTCAGTTAGTCATTTATGGGAATTAGGGTAACTGAGGGGTAGTGAGAATCTGAGTTAGTATTTTGGTCCAGAAAATGATTACCTTTAAGTAGGATTAGCTACACTATAGATTTGTTTAATTTGGATAATTTCTAGTTCCATAGAATTCTAAAGTTGCATAGGTTTATAACTCTGATTTGTGATAAATTTTCATTGACTTTGAGATGGGTTTTTAAGGGAGCAATGACTTAAATACGAGTTCTCTTGGAACAGAGAAGTTTGAGCATAGCTTTTTGAATCTGCTTTGTTTTCACACTGTAGATGATGGGATTCATCACAGGGGGAATAAGCAAGTATAAATTAGCAATGAGGTGGGCACAAAGGGTGGAGCACGTTTTCCAGATCTGTGAACAAAAGATAGGCTGATCAAAGGGATGTAGAATATGGCCACAGCAGTGATATGAGAAATGCAGGTGCTGAAGGCCTTTTTCCTCTCCTCTGGGGATGCAATATTGAGAACTGAGTGAATGATCAAGACATAGGAAAGCAGGATGAAGATAGAATCCACTCCAGCAGTAGAGATAATTGCAAATAGTCCAAATGCACTATTGATCTTTGTATCTGAACACGAGAGCGTCATCACATCAGGGTGGAAACAGTAGGAGGGATGGAGCACGTGGCTGTGGCAGAATGATAGACGTTTAAGAAGTAGGACTAGCGGTGTCAGGATGACAGTCCCCCTGGTGATGACTGCCATGCCATCTGTGCAATCCTTGCATGAGTTAGAATGGTAGCGTATCTCAAGGGGTTAGAAATGGCCACAAAACTATCAAAGGCCATAGCCAGGAGCACCGAGGATTCCATGAAGGTGAAGAGGTGAATGAAGAACATCTGTGATAAGCAAGCATTAAAGCTGATTTCCCGTGCATTCACCCAGAATATTCCCAGTACTGTTACCAGTGTAGAGATGCATAAGCCAATGTCAGTGGTGGACAGCATGGAGATGAAGTAGTACATAGGCTCATGGAGGCTTGGCTCAGTGAGGACTGCAAACAGGATCAAGGCATTCCCGGAGAGGGCAGTTAAATAGAGGCAGCAGAAGGGGATGGAGATCCAGGCATGGGCCCATTCAAGTCCAGGAACTCCAGTCAAGAGGAAAGTAGGATGAGTAGAGTTATGGTAGAATGACATTATGGTCTGAAGAGGCAGAATTCTCTTATAAGATCTTGACTTTCTAAATTTAGAATTTCAAAATTATTTTTAGTTGATATACATTTAGTTCACAGAACTTTAGAGTACAGCTCAATGAAGTTTGACATCTGTATACACTTTTGGAATACCTTCCAAGATC